AATAAATGTTTTGACATTATTCATAGTGATGTTTGAGAAATTACACCAGTTAATTCACATATTCAATATAGATATTTTGTGACATTTATTGATGATTACAGTCGATTTACTTGGATCTATTTTTTACATGCCAAAGCAGAAGTATTTATTGTATTCCAAACAGTTTTAGCATATGTTGAAACTCAGTTCTCCGCTCGCATTAAAACCTTACGTTTTGATAATGGCGGTGAATAAATGTCTCATGAGTTCCAAGCATTTCTTCAGAACAAAGGGATTGTTTTACAACGTTTATGTCCCTATACGCCGCAGCAAAATAGAGTTGCTGAACGAAAAAATCGACATCTATTAGATTGCGCACTTTACTGATAGAATCTTCTGTTCCAGCTAAATTTTGGACTGAAGCTTTGTCTACTGCAGTTTATCTCATTAATCGCTTACCATCTCAACAATTGAATTTTGAGTCTCGCTACTATCGAGTTTTTGATAAACACCCTATTTATCATACGCTACATACTTTCAGATGTGTTTGCTTTGTTCACCTACCTGCTCATAAACGTCATAAATTGACAGCTCAGTCAGTCCAATGTGCCTTTATGGGGTACAGTCTTAATCATAAAGGTTTTGTATGTTATGATTCAATTAATAATCGATGACATATTTCTGGAAATGTGATTTTCTTTGAACATGAATATTACTTTCAACACCATATGTCTACATCAGATACAGTTATACTTCCACAATTTGATAATCCCTTTGCTGATAAACGGTTCAAGCCAGACATTGTCTACACACGACGCCTGCCCCCTTCACCTTCAATCCTCCCCGACCCTGATCCAAAAATTGCTCCACTAAGTATTCGACGATCAACCCGACGTATCCGTCCTCCAAATAGATATGGGTATTCTGCAATTTTAACTAATACTACTGTTCCTACCTCTTATTTTCAAACTGCTAAACAGACTTGCTGAGTCAAAACCATGAAAGAGGAACTTCAGGCACTTCAAGACAATCACACGTGGAATATTGTTTCATGTCCTACAGGTGTTAAACTCATTAGTTGTAAATGAGTTTATTCTCTTACTCCGATCTGATGGCTCTCTTGACAGATATAAGACAAGATTGGTAGCTCTTGACAATCGACAGGAATACATGATTGATTATGACGAAACATTTGCACCTGTGACTAAGATGACAACTGTCCGACTGGTATTATCTATTGTTGCATCTAAAGGCTGGTTCTTAAAGCAGATGGATATTAAGAATGCATTCTTACATGGGGATCTCAAAGAAGACGTCTATATGACTCCTCCTCCAGGCTTATTTTCTACACCTTCACATGATGTTTGTAAGCTCAAACAGTCCCTATATGGTTTGAAACAGGCTCCACGGGTCTGATTTGAAAAGTTTCGCAATACCCTTCTAAGCTTCTCTTTTATCTAAAGTCAGTATGATTCATCATTATTTCTTTGCAAGACTAACAAAGGAATTGTTTTGTTATTAGTATATGTTGATGATATTATCATCACAGGATCTGATAATCAATTGATGTCTCAGCTACAGAAACGTCTTCAGGGTTCTTTTCATATGAAAGATTTAGGGTCATTAACTTATTTCTTAGGACTCGAGGTTCACTCTTCTGCCGCTGGTATTTTTCTTCATCAACACAACTATACGAATGGACTCATTTCTTTAGTTGGTCTTCAAGATGGTCGCTCTACTGATACCCCTTTGGAGGTAAATGTCAAATATCAATAGAATAATGGTGATTTTCTATCTGAACCATCTCTATATAGACAACTGGTTGGCAGTCTCAATTATCTGACTGTTACGCGTCCTGATATTTCATTTGCTGTGCAACAAATTTATGCCAGCCCCTACACATCTTCATTTAGCTGCAGTTCGACGTATTATTCGATATTTGAAAGGTGCTTCTCATAGTGGTTTGTTCTTTTCTGCAAAGTCTCCTATCACCTTAACAACCTATAGTGATGTCGATTGGGCTAGTTGTTTTGATACACGCCGATTTATTACTGGATGGTGCATGTTTCTCGACAACACTTTAATCTCTTGGAAGAGTAAGAAACAAGATCGAGTGTCTAAGTCATCTACTGAATCAGAATATCGCGCTATGTCCTCTGCTTGTTCTGAAATCATTTGTCATTTTGG